CATATTTGTTAAGAAAGCTTTCTGTTTTATATTTTGCCTGGTCTTTTTGAGCAGAGAGTAGTTGAACAGTTATATTTGTTGTTACATCTTTCAAAGATACTTCATATACGGATTGATGACATTTTTGGGAAGAGAGCTACTTTTTCACAGTCAGCAAAATAGTGAGCACAGTAGGTTCTCTACCTCATTTAGTTAATTGTGGAACAGTTAAGATAGATCCATTCATTGCTGAATATACCTTGCAAAAGCTTGCTTGTACCCTACTGTTTTGACTTCATTGGGTTAATTCCAAGGGTTGGAAAGGTAATTAAGCTTTTCTTCACTTCTCAGCATTTAGCTGTTAATGTACCTAAATGAAGTCACATGATAAACACTACTCCTGTGCCTCTAAAAAGTAAAAGCAAAACCTAGTACCCACAATGTTGAATGTTCCAGTGGGATTTATTGAAGGATATCAGTTGTGGATGAGATGAATTATATCTGGCTGGATCATGAGTGTAAGGAGTGCAAAAGCTTCATGGTCCTCTTGAGTACTTCAGGGTGAAGGGCATACTCCTCTGAGTCTGTAGAGTTCCTTTTAGTCTCCTCCCAACCTTTTACATGCCAGTATAAGTACTAATATCTGTATAATGGTAGCAAGATGAATCTTTGGATCATTCTTGCATATATAATGATGAAGTTATGTTTCTGATGTCAGCCTTTATCGGTAAGGCCTCTTTTCTTCAAGTATTCTTGAAGCTTTATAAGCCTTAATTGCTCAGGAAGGTTTAAAAGCCTTAATTGCTCAGGCAGATACATGTATAAATTCATGTATAATCTTTTCTGAGTAATAGTTGGCCAGGGCACTTAAGATTAGTTTTTTTTAATACATTCATTATTAGTCATTGAGGCAATTTGGCTTTGGTATATATTCAAGATCCTCAGTGACCTTAGGTGCCTATTTTTTTGACATACATTTTTATTTGTGTCTTACATTTGTGCATCGCATAAATTTCTTTCTGTATCTCTTTTCTCCTTATATCAGAGAGTTATACCTTAAAAAGAAGAAAAAGAAAAGAAAAACCCAAAACCAATTAATACATAGACAAAATCTGAAAATAATATGCAATATATCATACCCATGGACCTTCAACTTTTGCAGAGGAGTAGGAGGGAGGTATTTTCTGATATCCTTTTTGGGCTTGAGCTTTTCCTCCACCCTACTGCCCCCCACATTAATTTTCTATCATTTGGTGGTTCTTTCTGTTTACGTCGTTATAGTTGTGTTTTTGTTTTCTTGGCCCAACTTCGCTTTGCATCAGTTCATGTAAGTCTTTCCATGCCTCTCTATGTTCATTGTATTTGTTATTTCTTATAGCATAGTAATGTTCCATCATATTTCTATACCACAATTTGTTTAGTCAGAGGCATCGCTTCCCTTTTTTCTGTAGGAAGAACTAGAATGGACTGGTCGTTATAATGTAAGATTGGTATATAGTTGGTGACATTGGCAGTTGGGTGGTTTTCACAGCATGGTTAGTCTGCTTACCTTTGATATTAATAAATATCCTGAGAATGATCTTGAGAAGAGCTACTGGTACCTTGGGGTGGGGGGAACCTTTTGCAGAAGTTAAAAATCTGTCACAGAAAAAAACACAAACAACCTGTTGAATTTCATGCATTTAGATTTATGAGGCTTCAAGCAGCTTTGCTTCAATCAAATGGGATTACAATAAATCACTCTTAATGCAGTAGAAAAATCCCCAAAGGAGGTTGTGCTTGTGGTTTCAGAAACAATACTATGGATTTCATTTATTACTTATTCTCACTTCCTTCTACTGGTGGGAATACAGACATCAAAGTTTTTTTGTATAGATGGGAGAATAGACATATATAGGTTGGTAGTTGTTTTCTCCATAGCATTATTTGGTTTTGTGAGATTTTGGTTTCTTCCCCTCCTCAGATACTATTACAATAACCTGCAGGTTGACCTGTCTGTCAGGTCATCCTCTGCACGGTTTCCAAAGTGATCTTCCTAAAATTCGGGTCTGACTTTGTCTTTGTCTTCTCTTCCCCTCAGCACCCCCTTTAGTCAAATTTCAGTGATTCCCAGTCTCCTCTAGGATAAAATATAAAATGCTTTGTTTAGCATTTGAAGTTCTTCATAGCTCCCCCTCCCCCACTCCCCTGTCTTCTTTAACCTTACCGTGCTCTACACAATACCTCCCTCCCTCTTCCAGCAGTCCATATACTTTGCGGTCCAGTGACACTGACTCCTTGCTGTTCCTCACACAGGAAAATTCCATCTCTTGACTGAACGTTTTCCTTGGCTGTTCCCCATACGTGGAATATGCTTTCTCATGTGAGCCTTCTGGTTTCCCTAACTTCTTTAAATCTTGGCTAAAATCCCACTTTCCACAGGAAGTTATTTCTCTACTCCCTTAATTCTAGTGACTTCCATCTGTTGATTATTTACAATTGATCCTGTATATAGCTTGTTTGTTCATAGTTATTTGCAAGTTATCTCCACCAGTATTGAGCTCCTTGAGATCTGAGACTGACTTTCGCATTTGTGTTTTCAGTGCTTAGTACGGTGCCTGGCACATAGTAAGTGCTTAAATATTTATTGGTTGACTGATTGAATATCGCTCTTCTTTCTATGTGCTTAATTTTATTCAATTTTTTTCCCATCATTTATACCTTCTTTGTAAACACATCTGAGACAGTGATATTCAATTGTGGTTATTTCACTGTCCTTAATGGTGAAAATTTGTTATTGTAATCTTTGTAGACTTTTTTTTTCTCTGTTTGACAAGGATATATAATGAAATCATAAATGTGCATTGCAATAGAATGAAATAAACATCAACTTCAATGAAATATTAATGTCGAAGCATATATGTAATTCAGGGCCTCCTTACTGTTTGCCTAATTGGTCTTCTTGTTGCCAGACTCCTCCCTCTAGGCCTTCCTTTGTAATTTGCCAGATTTGATATTCCTAAAGTATAGATTCACCCCCCCCCCAAGATGTTTCATTAGCTTCCTGTGGCCTCTAGTATAAAATAAAGTAAAACTTCTCTTTGTTATTCAAAACCCTTCATAATCTGGCTCTCTTTAGTCTTTCAGATTGATTTCAGCTAACTCTCCTTTACTTGAAAGGCTGAATGGTATGTTGTAAAGAGAACTGACCTTGAAGCCAGGAAGATCTCATTTCAAGTCTTGTCTTGTCACACATCTGTATAGTAATCTAAGTAATTTGTGGCAAAGGTATCGCCACACTGGTAGAAGGAATTTTCTTATCTGAGACCTCCCTAAATCAGGTAGTTCATTTATGGAGGATTTGGACAAGATTACATAGGATGAGCAAGTGTGAATGCATTGTGATAGAGGGAGTATATGAATAGAGATGAGATCCTAGATCCGTAAGCATTTCAGAAGGCGGTTATCTATTTAGAGTACTGAACTTGGAGCCAGGAAGATTTGAGATCAAATTCTGACTCAAGTACTTACTAGCTGTGTAATTCTGGGCAAGTCACTTAATATCTCTGTGTCTCAGTTTCCTCATCTATGAAATAAGAGGGTTGGTCTTGATGACTTCTGAAGCTCCTTTTAGCTCTAGATTCATGATCCTTTGATGCTATTTTTGAACAGTGAAACATCATTCATATCCTTCAAATTTAGTGTTTTCCTGGTGTACATTCTACAGTTCATTCAATCTTCGCTGAGCTTTGCCACTCTGGCATCTTGGACAAGTTAACTTAATCTCTCTAGCCCATAAGTTTCCTCAGCTTTAAAGTAAAGGAATTGGGCTACATGATTTCTGAAAGTCCATCTAACTTTTAAAATTCTATAATCTTATTACTCTAGGTTGCTTGGGTATTTAATGTAATAGTTTTTACCTTTTTAAACTAATATTTTGTTTGTTTTTTAGGCAGTTGGGTTAAGTGACTTGCTCAGGGTCACACAGCTAGTAAGTGTCAAGTATTTGGTCTGAGAGCAGATTTGAATTCAGGTCCTCCTGACCTCAGGGCCGGTGCTCTATCCACTGTGCCACCTAGCTGCCCCTAACTGATATTTTAAAGGGCAGTTTCATCACAATAAAAAAAATTGTGCTTATGGTTGATATGCAGATAGCCTTAAATGCTTTGCCAATTTGCTGTTTCTACCAGTTGCCTTGTACTCATAATTTCTTTTTTTCTTTCCTTATAGTAGTTGTTTTATTTATTTATTTATTTATTTTGGTGAGGCAGTTGGGGTTAAGCGACTTGCCCAGAGTCACACAGCTAGTAAGTGTTATGTCTCTGAGTCCGGATTTGAACTCAGGACCTCCTGACTCCAGGGTCAGTGCTGTATCCACTGTACGACCTAGCTGCCCCACTTTATAGTAGTTATCTTCACAATGTACTTAAAATAACCTCTGTATTTTTTCTAGCTAATGTCTTATCATGCATTTCTGTATATAAATGTATAAATTTATACTTTGAAAATAGAAACATACTATCTTTCCTGTATGTGGAATCTTTAACTTGTTCTGGCTTAATGATGCATACTTAATACAACAAATGTCTGAAACAGGTTTTTTTGCCTTTTAAAATGTGCTAGCTTTCACTGTTCCTGTTTATTCTGATGTTAAATAGTTGCACTTAATTGGTAGAATTTGTATGTAAGTGGTAGATCAATCTTCAGTGATTTCTATATCTAAAATTTATTATCATTTACTTAAACATTCATCTGAAATTGATTTTAAGCCTGATTCCATTACTTCAGTTTCTGTGTTACTTAATACTTAATTGAAGAAACATTCTTTTTGGCCATCATTGTCTTTATATTTATATAATTATACTTCCATGTCTTATTTCCTACATTGCTTGGATGATCTATCTTCTAGCAGAAGGAAAAATCAGCCAGGCTTCAGTGATAGAATAGGACTGACTCTATTTTTATGCTATTTTTATAATCTTGCCTTACTATGAATAGTTGGATACATGAATACTCCTTTTCTTTTTGGATACCTTTGTTAGGTTTTGAGCCTGTGGTAGTAGAGAATGTATTAGAAGGTGATGAGATACGCACAGACCTGAAGGAAGTAGAAGCTAAAATCAAGGAGCTTGGGGCTGATAACATTCTATGTGTTCATTCTACTACATCCTGTTTTGCTCCAAGGGTGCCTGATAGGTAAGTCATTCATGTATATTATTCTTTACATGTTAACAAATTTTGTTAATAAAGTGTATATATCATTATTTTAATATGTTTGATTAACTTTTGGGAATAATTAAGTAAATTAATCTCTTTCTAAGAGGATGTAGAGAATTCCTCTGAAATGTGGAGGAAAGCATAACGGAATAGCAAAAGGATTTACTAAAATAGAAGAAAAAAAGGATCTAATACAATGTAAATGATTCCTTTTACTTGAATAGATTCAAGTCTCTCTACCTTCTGCCTGTGTTAAAATTATGATTGCTTCCCCTCCCAGTACTGTTAGCTCTTCTTCATGAAAAGGTGCTGTTTGTCTTGTTATTTAAAAGATGCTTTCCTGCTGTGCTAAATGTCATAGTTTCTCGTGTTCATTTATTTCTGCTGCCATCTCTAGTTCAATATTCTTTCACTCAGTGGGCTGATGTTTTCGATACTTCTGATAAACATGGTTGGGAGCCATCGATGATATTTGCCGTGCAAGAATAAGAAAATAAACTTTTAATGATAGATGAGGATTAGTAATGTTGAGCATATACCTTATAATGATACATATCTAGTTTTTAGCTCAAGATAAAATAATACTTAAATTTATACTTTAAAGATGTTAACATACAGCCCCTTGGAAAAACATTTAAAATTAAGACAATCTTGCTTGAAAAGTATTTTTTTAAAAATTGTCATACTTAATCTTATACACAGTGGTTCTTTTCCTTTGTTTTTATTGGGAAGAGATATTATGATGTGCAAATGTAGATATTTTGCTTTCCAAATGAAAGAAAGTATAAATTTCCTAGTTCAAATTTTAATTTGTACTTGTTTAAATCAGGCAGGCATTCGGTGAGTGCCTACTGTGTGCATACACTGTGCTGGACATTGGGGATGCAAAGACAGAAATGAAACAGTCCTGTCCTTTGGTTCTGTTGGGTTAGATAACATGCTTATATAAGCATATACAAAATAAATATGTAAATGTGAGTTAATTGTGGGGTGAGGATAGGGCAGTAGTAGTTAGAGAGATTAGGAAAGGCCCTCATGTAGGAGGTGAAGCTTGAGCTAAGCTTTGACAGGAACTAAGGATTACAAGAAGTAGAGGTGAGGAGAGAGTGCCTGCCAGCCTTGGTAAACGGCCTCTGCAAATTCACTGGAATGGGAGATGGAGTGTCACGTGTGAGGAATATCAAGAAGGCTACTTTGGTTGGACACAGAATGTATGAAGAAGGAATAACACATGTTAAGATTGGAAAGGTAGGTCAGAAGAAGGCTGTTGTGAAGGACTTTAAGTTCCAAACAGAGGAGTTTAGATTTGGTCCTAGAGGCGATTGAGGTTTAGGAAAATCACATTGGCATCTATGTGGAAGATCATTGAATGGGGGAGAGAAAGGATTTGAGGCAAAGACACCAATTAGGAGGCTTCTGTAGGAGTTCAAATGAAAGGTGATGAAGGCCTGAAGTAGGGAGGTGGAAGGGGATATTGTGGAAATGAGTAGGTAGAACTTGACTACTTATTGGTTATGTTGGGTCAGGGAGTGAGGATGAAGCTATGTGACTAGAAGGATGGTGTTAACTTTGACAGAAACAGTGACGTTCAGAAGCAGAATGGGATTGGGGAAAAACATAGAGTTTGATTGTGGACATGCTGAGTTTGTAATCCTTACAAGACATCTAGCTTCTTAAATAGAATGTTTTCAGCTTTTTTATTTAATTTTTTAAGTTAAAAAATCTATTTTTTCTTCCTTGGCCCCCTTACCTCCTACCTCACAACTCCCCCCTTGAAATAAGGGAAAATAAAACCCTCATCATAAATATGCACAGCTGAATAAAACAAATTTCCACATTGGCCATAATTTTGCACACAGAATGGACCATCCCTTTGTCAGGAGGTGGGTAGCAAGCATCCATCATTAATGTTTTAGAATAATGATTGGCCATTGTAATGATCAGAGTTCTTAACTCTTTCAGAGTTGTTGGTCTTTACAGTGTTTTTATTGCTTAAATTATTTTCATGGCTTTGTTCACTTCACTATTCCTCAATTCCTTCAAGTTTTCCTCGGTTTTTCTTTCTTATAGCACAATGGTATTCCATCACATTAATATGTTGTAATTTATCTAGCCATTGCCCTTGTGATGGTCACCTCTTAAGTTTCTACTTTGCCACTATAAATATTGCTGCTATACGAATGGATACTTTTCTTCTTTGATCTCCTAGGGGTTTAGTTGTGTTAGTGGTATTGCTAAGTCAAAAGGTACTCATAGTATGGTGATTTTGGGGGGCATAGTTCCAAATTGCTTTCTAGAATGGCTGGAAACACTTATAATCCTTGAATAGGCATTTAATTTGCCTGTTTACCACAGTACCTTGAACATTTATTATTTTTCTTTTTTGTCAACTTCACTAATCTGATGGGTGGTATTGAGGTAGAACCTTTCATTTGCATTTCATTGCATTAGTATGAGTTGGAACATTTCAGTAGCATTTTTCTACTTATTAGTATCTTGGAATATTTCATAGAGTTGGGACATTGCATGCTTTGTATTTATTTTTCTGAAAACCACCTATTCATCTTTTGATTATCAATTTAAGAATGGCTCTTAGTCTTAAAATTTGAAGCATTGTCTTACATATCTTGGAAATGAGACTTTTATCAAAGAGACTTGTTGCAAACTTTCCCCCATTTACCATCTAATTTTACTTACAATTGTTTTTGTTCATGTACAAATGTTTTAATTTTATGTAATAAAATTATCCTTGTTATTTTCTGTTATTCTCTCTACCCCTTGTTTGCTCATGAGCTCTTCTTCCTCATCAATACGTCTGAAGGGTAATTTTTTCCTTGCTCTTCTAATTTATGTTGTCAGCCTGTGTGTGTGTAAGTCATGTATCCATTTGGAGATATACCATGTTGTGAGATTTTGTTCTGTAGAGTACAGTTAAGTTACTTCTGCTCTAACTCCACGCTAGACTTTGCAAAATCATAGTGTGGAAAAAAATGGAGTTTAGAGGCACAACCCTCAAAAAACTTTGTTAGTGATGTGTTTTTTTTTTTAAAAAAGATAGGAACATAAAAAAAGCATAATTTTATACACGTTAAATGGTTGAGAAATACGTACATACTATAATAAATGTTAACAGTGACCATGGCCTCAGACTGTCTGGGCTCCTACTACTTGGCTTGCATATAGGTTACCAAGTGGGCCAGGTTAGTAAAGTGTCAGGAAAGTTGAACAGGCCATTCCTGGTCTCCAAGTTGGAGGCCGTGGGCAGAAAGTGGAATGTGGTGACGTGGACCAGCTATTCTTTGTCAACAGCTCTTGCTGTACCTGAAGATATACAGTAACTATGATATTAGTTTTGTTTGTGCAAAAAAAAAGACCTGAAGTTTTCTTGTAGAAGTGGGTACCAGAATAGTTGTGGCTTGTAAGTTGTTGTGAAGAGGTGTAGTTTTCTCTATTCTTGCTGTTTCTCCAAGAAGGAATTGTGCAAAAGCAGATTTGAAATATGCATTATGTTCAAATTCCTCCTTGATAATATCAGTCAAATTGGAATAGATTTACATTTTCAAAACAAGTGTTAATAGCAGAACTGATTGTACTTAGTTTCTGCCAAATTACCTTTCAATTATTCCAGAAGTTTTTTCAAATAGTTGCTATATCAGTAGTTGGGGAGTCTTTGGATTTATCAAACACTAGGTCACTGTGTTCATTTGCTTCTGTACATACATTGTATACCTAATCTATAGTATTGATCATCCTCTATTTCTAGTGCCAGATCATTTTGATGATTACTGTTTTGTAAGTATAATTTGAGATCTGGTATTGCTAGGTCCCCTTTTCCCACTTTTTTTCATTGTTTCCATTGAGATTATTGACCTTTTGTTTCTCTTGAGGAATTCTGTTATTTTTTTCCCCCAGCAAATAATCCTTTGGTAGTTTGATTGGTATGGCACCTGAAATAAGCAAATTAATTTAAATAGTATTGGTCATTTTTACTATATTGGGTCAGTCTATCTATGAACAGTAAATATTTCATTATTTAGGTCTGTCTTTAATTCAGCTAAAAGTGTTTCGTAATTGTATTCATGTAGTTCCTGTGTGTGTCTTGATAGGTTGACTCCCAAGTATTTTATATGTTCTGTAGTTTTAAAAATGGAACTTATCTGTCTTTTCCTGTTGGGTGTTGTTGATGTTAGAGAGAAATGCTGAAAACTTAACATGGATTTTTGTATTTTGCAACTTTGCTGTTATTATTTCAGTTACTTTTTTAGATGGCTTGCCATGTTTTTCTAAGTAAACCATCTGTAAACAGTAATTTTTTTTTCCTTCTTGCATGTATTCATTGCTTTAATTTCTTTTTCTTATTGGTGCTGCTAGCATTTCTAACACTTTGTCAAATAGTGACACTTGGCATTCTTGCTTTACCCCTAATTTTATGGAAAGATTCTTTACTTAATTCTTATTACATAAAATATTTTCTCTAGGTTTTGGATAAATACTATCTGTTATGTTAAGGAAATTATTATTATTATTCCTTTGTTGTCTGGGTTTGTTTTTTGAATATGAATAAGAAGTCATATCTTGTCAAAAGCTTTTTCTGTGTCTGTTGATATAATGTGATATTGTTGTTCTTATAAATATGGTCTGTTATATGGATGGTTTTCCTAATATTAAACCAACTCTGCATTTCTAGAATAAATCCATCTTGGTCAAAGTGCGTAATCTTTGTGTCATATTATTGTAGACTCTTAGTTAATATTTTATTTAAAATTTTTATGCCAATATTCATTAGAGATATCAGTCTGTAATTTTCTTTCTCTCTTTCCACTCTCCTTGACTTAAGTATCAAGACCATATTTATATCTTCAAAGAAATTTGATAGGACTCCTTTTCCAAGACCGAAGTTCAGACGGCTGAATCTGAGATCCTCCACTCTGGTATCAGAACCATACAGTTGCAGCTCTGTTCTTTTCTGTTCCTTGCCC